AGTTCATCTTCATTCTTCCTTAAACTAAAGGAACCATCTCTTGGTCCTGCCATTTTCTCCTATTATAACTTCCTTGTTTTCCCTTTAAAATTTAAAGTGCATGTAAATACATTGCAGAAATATCTTCAAGCTCTTTGATTTCCTTGCCTGCTTTGCTCCACTGTAAATGTGCTTAAGAAAGTCACTAGTAGCCACTTCCTACTTAGCAAAAACTAAACATCTCTCCTGTTTCCTTCGACCTCCATGACACTTTATTTCATTTTCTCATTCATGGATCTCTTAATTGTCAAGTCCTGAAATAATTCAGAATTTAGATGAACCTTCAGAAGCCTACGTATTACCAAGCTGAAGGGCTGTAATTCTCCATCCATCCACTATTCAGCAGCTTGTACCACCAGCTGATATCTGCTATTCACAAGTCTCTTAAAAAACATCATTTCAAAACAGAAGAGCAGCCATTTCAATTTTTTTTTCCTCTGGCATCTTTAAGGGACTCTTTGCCTTTTGAGAATTAGGGGTAAGATGGCCCCTGTCCTCAGTCCACACAAAGGGACTTCAAGGTTCTTCCCTTTCTTCTCTGGTGGAAGATGTTGCCTTCTGAAATTTATATGAACAGTCTAAGCAGGAAGAAGGAAGAAATAACACAAATGAGAGTATAGTGTATGAAAATGAAAAGTATGAGAGAATTTGTAAAAGAAGTAAAGAGACTAATAAGTAAGGGGATATTATTTTCATGTTTTGCAAATGTGTATAAATCTGTGGGCTCACTGATGACCAGAGTTGAGGGAGAAATTAAAGGGAGGCTAAGAGCGTTGCAAAAGAGCTGGATAATTTTCACATTAATAGATACTAACAAATATATAAGCCACGCACATTCTCTGTCCATAACGAAGGTGGAGTGCTTAGAGAGCAACAAGATTATAAAAAAATCAACAAGTAACCAGGACTGAATGATATGCAGATTATAGTTCTTGAAGTGTTTAGCTGATGTGCTGATGAAAAATAATCAATCTCTTGTTAAAATCAGCAGCTACAGTCAAAATGGCATATACTGTACCTGGGTTTCAAAATAACACTATCTGCTGATTTTGGAAGATAAAAATCAATTTATTAATAATGTAAATTAGTTGTAACAACTCTGGTAAATTACTTGAAACCACTCTAGACAGCTTTATAAATTAACTCCATTCATTATGTAATTGTTAAAAAATGAATTAGGATTCATAACGAACAGGACACAAAACAGTGCAGAAAGTATTGTTATGTTTTCATATATCCAACGCTAAGTCCTCACCAAATTGCTGGTGTTTCACTACAGTTGCCTCTACGCAAGAGCAAACTGGGAAAAAAAAAAGATGTTATTTAACACAGATAAGAATAAAGTGGGACATAGTAAGTAGAAGAGACAATAATTGTAGTCTTTCTTTTCCTACTGTTAAAAGAAAAAAAGAAAAAATAAACGATGGCAAGAAATAGGTTTACATACACCAAAGTTAATTCTTAGAACGTAGTAACTTGAGATAAATATGAGAACAAAAGCTTCCCACATAGCATTATAAAAGGATTTGATGCTTGTACAAATAACAGAAATACCTGTATTTAGATTAGATTTAAAATGTAAGTAGATTAGAAATTGAAATCCTTGTGTTTCAGATCATAGAGCAACGATGAGAACAGGAAGGATAATATTCTAATGACAAATTGTGCTGTTAGAGTTTCTTGCATCAAATTAAACATTTCAAACTTGTTGCTGTCAAAGACCTTAGGTGGATGGGAGGTTTGGTTCAGTATGCCAGTTTCTCTGTTCTCAGCTACGTGCACTATGGTGTACAGACAAAGTCCCTTTAAAGCAAAGATTCCTGAAATTTTTGCGGCTTTTTCTTACGTGAGAAAATCAGGGGTGTTCTATGCCTCGCTGAATATAGCTTTCACTTTTTTGCTTCCTTGAATCTCAATTATGCAACCAGCTAGTGAGCACAGAGCATATTCACCTGGGCTGTGTACCTTCTAAGGTGCTGCAGTGTACAGTCAGTTTACTTGCTGAGATCAGTTGCTGTAGGGAAGCTAGAGAAACGGTATTTGTAATCCTGCATTTATAGTACTATAAAACCTGTCTAAATTGGATGAAAATCGAGCTCAGACTTTATCCAAAGTATTCTCTTACCAATTTTATTTTTAATTTTTGATAGGTAAATTTAGAATCCAGTCAGCAGCTAAGAAACCCACTAATTGCTGATTAGGAAATGCTCTGTAATTCCTTTGTTAGCTTTGCAGTTTTGCAGCAACTGGAATAGCTGAACTATCATTGTCAAGATTAAAAACAATGGTCTCGTAGTACTACATAAACCCTTAGGAGAATGAAGCATTCCTCCTTTTAAACATCTTTCTCTACTGACAACAATGTCTATTTTATACCTAGCCATAAGAAAATAAATATTTGATCTGCTAATAAAGTTCTAATCTCCCACCACTCTAGTATGCTAGTAACAAGAATGTTCTTTCTCTCTATTAATAGACTGAAGACATTAAAGAGATAGCGCGGAAAACACAAGCCCTGCCAAAGGTGAACACTAAAAGGCAACGAATCGTAGTCTTTACTCAGGGGAAAGATGACACTGTAATGGCTACAGGTATATTTTTCAAATCTCCGTTGTTGCTCACAGTAAATATTGTAGTTTATCAATTACAAGTTATTATTTTACAAATTATAACTGTTAAATGGTAGTCAGAGTGTTTGCTTTGTGATGTTAGTCCATGTTTCTCATCTGTTTATCCTTTTAATTGTTTTAAGATTCTGAACTTGAGAAGTTAATATTTCACAGGAAATTTAGTTCTGAACTTCTTAAGTTCTTTTTTTGTAATATAGATCTAAAATATTGATCCAGTTGGTTTTACTCAGATTTTTATGACTTTAGATTTTATCTGTGTAGCCATCTTTGCTGCAAACAAGAACACACTATGCCTGCTGAGAACAGCTGTGCAACAGTATAGTATATTTAAACATTTGTGAAGAGGAGGAAGTGAAATCCAGTACTAAGTGAATTTCCAGGCTTTTTTGCTTTGAGCAGAAAGTCTCACTTCTAGCTTTTCTCAGTCGCCTGCTCTTCTATTCTCAAAGGACTACGTGGGAAAAAGGTGTTCTAGCAGGGATAAAAGTAGTTTGTGCTGTCTAAATTGATGATGTACGACACAGTTTTAAGCCTTATAAACATGATTGCCTACCTTTTGTCAGTCTCTTTAATTCTGTCCACCTATGCTTCTAGACTAAATAGAGCTATTAAAAACATGTGCTGTGGCAAGCCATTTTAGTCATTCATTCCTTCACAAGGTAAGTTATTCGTCAGGCCTGAATTCCTCCTTTGGAAATCAAGTGAAGCTTTGCACCTGGGGGACCGGTGCTTGCTCATATGATATTTGCCTCAAAATCAGAATTGGCTTCAGACTGTGGCTGCAGGACTAGGCACTAAGTAGGTATGTCACTGCTATATAGATTTTTCTCAGCAGAATAATTTATCCAATACTTTGCTTCTTCCCCTATTTTGTTAGCTACAAACTGGTTTTAAGGAAATAGAAAGCATTCATTGAGAGTTGGGTATGTGTATCTCACTGAATAATGGTGGAGGTGTTGCTTCCAGGAAATTACTGCATTACGTGAATGGCCCATATGGAGGCACTCCATTTGAGTATTATACAGTTGGCTGAAAAATAGCAGTATAAAAATGTTTTTATACATGAGCTAGTAATAACGGTAGTAAACCTAAATCTTATATGTAACCCTCCTGTGCTTTTATTTAATTTTCACTGTGTACTTACTTTATTCTTCAAACTGGAGTTGTTAACAAATCCATTAATCCCTTCTTTGGTATTTTTACAACTGGGGGCTTATTTGAGGACTGACACTTGCAAATCTTAGCTGTTTGTTGGCTATGAAATGAACTTAAATTAGAGAATGCGCTTTATATGCATGATAAATGCAAGATGGATAGAGAGTGTATGCAATGGTGTCAGCTACAAAAGCAAACATGATAAATGTTAAGGCAGTTTTGAGCTGTGGGATAAGCTATTCAGTGCACAAGCATAGCTGAATCTCTTTGCTATGTTGTTATTCATGGCAGCCAAATAAATGTCAATAATAAAAGAGAATTAAAGATTTTCATTTCCCAGAGGCAGTCCTCTAATACAGCTTGATCTTTCATTTCATTTGTAATTCGTTCTCATGTCAGGATGCAATCATTTGCCAGGCTCTGTGTGTCATGTTAAGTCATTTAATAATGATTAAGAACATAAAAATGTTTGGCCTGTGGGGCAATTCTCGGAAGAGGTACCAATTTGTTATTGTTTTCCCCCCTTTTTCCTTCCTTTGGTGTGGATCATCTTTTTTCCCACCTCCTCGCGTTAAAATAATAATGAAAGAAGGAAAATCTGTCCCTTAATCTAGCATATGATGATAACACAGAATGGCACAGAGTACTGCTAACACACTTATTTCAACACCGATTAGGTCGAGTTGTGCTTTGAAACCTGCAGTGGAAAGTGTAAAAAGTTTCTAAATGATCTTTGCACGATTTACTGTGTTTAAGAGTAGTTACCAACATAAAATTCATTTCCTTTTTCTAATGCATAGGAGTACATTTTTTGAAAAAGCAGTCTGTGTGTAGTTGTTTATCCTGCCTTTCTGAGGAAACAATGTAGTCTCAGAGAGTTTATGCCTAGATTAAAATAGTATTTGCAAATTCAGCTATGGATTTGGATATGCTTGTTAGTACCTTCTGCTTTATATTTGGTCCAGGCTAATAATAATAAGAACAACATATTTGTTAGTGGGAAGACATTTCTGTCCATAGTGACTCAACCAGAGGGGATCAGTATCCAGGCAAAGGACTCTACTCTTTCTTCCCTTCTACTGCTGCCTTTAACCATCCCTCATAAGCTGTTGCACTGATCACATATTCCAATGGTCTTAGTTTATGTCTGAAAGAGCACCAGATAGAGCTGGAGCTTATGGGAGTGAAGGTAAAAGACTTCAAGGTGAGTTTGCCCTTTGTGGGTTTTCTACTTTTTGTTCCTCCTCCCCTTTCCCATTTTTCCCATGGAAAGGTCTCTGCTCTCTGGCAGCAGCGCAGAGCAGCATTACTGTAAGCCATGGGAGTAGAAGCGAATGGCTTGAATCAGACTGCACTCTATGATGAGGCACAGATGGATGACCACCCTCTGCTTCTTTCCCTTCCCCCTGCCCACTCATGGCAAGATGAGATAGGCAATACTCAGGCTGTAAGAGCATCCTTAACAGAGCTGTTTCTTCTGTCAAAGCCTCTGTATGCTGTCCAGGATGAGGCAGCCCTGGGGCTAGGTTGAGAGGGACTGGGTTGCAAGAGGAGGAATGCACCTCTTTGATGAGTTGTGTGTAGGTTGAATGGGGGGGATCAGGTAATGGAAACAGTGAGGGGATACACTTTGATACAGCTCTTGCCGGAAGGAGAGGAAATAAGATGGATAAAAGAGGTTGTTGCAGGTTGCCAGTGCATTCGTGAAAGGCACAGAATTATACATACTGGAAATTGGAAATGAGATGTGGAATTTCTGTTTTTTGTGGGATGAAGGAGGCCAGATACATCTAATCATTACAGGTGGAGAGGGCTGTGCCAACAGTTGTTGATTCCTGGACATTCAAGTATCAACAGGTATGTGAGGAGTAGAACATAGGGCAGAAAGGCATAGTTTGTTACCAAAAGCAAAGAAAGATTGACAAAAAAGTTCTGAGAATATAGCTCTTACAGAGGAGGGAGAGAGCTTAGACTGAGCCAGCTAAAATGTCTACTTCCTCCAAAGGTCTGGCCCAGCCGTACTGCAAAGATGTTTAATCATCTTATGAATTGCTGCAGTTTACACAACATTGTTTTAATGCCTGCCAAAAATGCTGGTGGCTCACCTCAAACAGACCACGAGCTGTAGGCACTCAGGCACAGACTGACAAGCAACTTGGAGGTCCATGCAACTGGCACAGATCATGAAAATGGTGAGAAGCAATAATTGCATCAGCAATCTCAATCTAAGCCATTCCCATTTGTCAGTCCACTTTTCTTGGCTGTCTGAATTATTTGTATTTGCAGAGGAAAAGTTTCTGTCTCTTTATCATGGAATGCATTGGGTCTTTCTACTGTCTGTTTATATCTCCTCTGTCACAGTACTCCATCCCCAAGGCCCCTTGTCGCTCCTCTTCCTCACTGTTCTCTGTCACTAGGAATAATTGCAAGGAAGAGGCAAGCTCAAATTCAATCTGAGTGTGATCAGTGTATTTTATAGGGAAGCAAAGGAATGTTTAGGATTGGCACACAGGAGCTGTGGCAGATGAATTGTTGACTAAATTAACAGTCAGCTTCTAATAAGACTCCACAGAGCATGTGCAAATTATCATTGTTTGAAGTTTTCCTCTTCATGTCATAGAATCATAGAATGGTTTGGGTTGGAAGGGACCTTTAAAGGTCATCTGGTTCCAGCCTCCCTGCCATAAGCAGGGACATCTTCAACTAGATCAGGTTGCTCACAGCCCTGTCCAACATGACCTTGAATATTTCCACTGATGGGACATCTACATCCTTTCTGTGCAACCTGAGGTATGTTTTTCGATTATGTCAAATTTTATCTTTTTACTGAAGAACTTGGAGGCATTGGGTCTTCTCAGTGATCCTAAGAATTAGCACTGACAAAAACATGGTCATTTTCTCCAGCATCATTCCCCAGCATAACTGAATTTTGATAAAACTCTATGAAAACAGGTAGCCTGTGAGAGACACCTGTGACAAAACCTTTCTGTGCAGGGGATTGTGGTTTGGGAAAGGTACTGGTAACTGAAAATAGGATCTGTGGACTTGCTAACCAGAAAAGTTTATTTGAGGAACAGTATTGGGTTAATTCCTTGTGCAGATGCTCCTCGTCCATACTGGGAATTACTTGGCTAACAAGACTCTGGTCCCACTACCACATCCTTGTTTCATCATATTGCTCTTCCCAGGCCTGAGATTCTGGATTTGACTGAGCGTTCTGAACTTATGGGATACATTCATTTTATGTTTCAATACTTTTTTCTGTAACCACAAAAATACATATGCTGAGAGAGGGGGGAGAGTTAATGAACACATGCAATCTCCTGATTTCAGCAGCTGGAGCTTTTAAGAAATGCACCAAAAATCACAAGCTCTGGCAAGAACATGTATGTCATATCTGTATGTGTGCTATAACATTTGTCAGAATCAAATGCTGTGAAATCTATCCCTTTTACAGAGTTGCTCATAACATTTTTAAACAAATTACTTGTAGTCAGATACATTTTATGACTGGTCTTGGCCCAAAGGGAAATCTTTGGAAAGTCTGAGCAGAATCAGTTTTGCAATGGAAAAAACATACTTTTATATTGAAATATTTGCATAATTCAAAAACAGCTGAAGCTACAAACTTTAAACTTGGCTTGTTTTATAGCTTTAATAGAGGAAAGAAAAACAATCCAAATTCAAAGAAAATCACTTCAGCATTTTTCAAGTTATGAATGATGAAATCTGGCATGTTCAGGCGTGAACATAGAATTTTCCATTCTTTTTTTCCCCCCAATGTTTGCAAGACCACCTCTGTTAAG